TGGTGAACGAACGGACAGGACATCAGCTTAGTTACTTTCTCCTTATTTCTTCTTTACTTTAATAAATTTTTTGTCTATTTTTGTCTAAAATTTTTTTATCCAATCAATCCAGGGGGGGGGGGCAAGTGCCCTTACCTGCAAGCGCCCATGCTTACAGATACCCTCTCCATGGACAAACATGTCACGAACATTTGCAGATCAGCATACAACGAAATTAGAAAAATCAGCACCATTAGACACCTCCTCTCCTTTGATGCCACAAAAACTCTCGTCTCTTCACTCATTCTTTCAAAATTTGACTACTGTAACACTCTTTCGCAGGCATTCCTCAACACCACATAGACAAACTTCAGAAGGCACAGAACTCAGCATGCAGACTCATTTTTAAATCAAAGAAACACGATCTCATTCAACCACACATGCAGCAACTCCACTGGCTTCCAATATCCTCTCGCATCAAGTACAAGTCTGCCAATCTTATGCTTCAACTCTTTCACTGACCCTCACTTTCCTGTCTATCTCTCTGAACTGTTGCTTCCTTACATCCCCACAAGACAACTACGCTCTTCAATTGGCAATAGAACCCTCTCAATCCCAAGAACCAAAACTAAGACCATCGGTGAACGCTCCTTCTACTTCCATGGGCCCACGTTCTGGAACCAGCTCCCCTTCCATATCCGTCATTGTGAAACCTCGTCCACTTTTAAAAAGTCCCTTAAAACGCATCTGTTTAGGTCCGCCTATGACCTGTGATGCACCCTCCTTGCCCTGCCTCATTTTCTGTCTCAGGTTGATCCTGTATTTAAGTATATGCCAAAACGGGCCAAGTGTACTTGTTTTTATAGCCATTTTAATGTTTTAGCTACTGTTTTTAGTCATTTTTCACATTGTAGTTACTATTGTAGTGTCTCTGATTTTTCATTTTTATTTTGCTTTAGCAGTTTAAATAGTTTACATATTTTTAATAATTGTAAAGCGCTTAGAGCTGTAAGGTAAGCGCTATACAAAAATGCCTAAATAATAATGTTAGACGGAGTCTTTCTATTCTGTCTTTGAGGGAGGGGATGTCAAATCTTTTTAAGAGGTCAGTGATTGAAGCCAGGAGCGGTGGATTTGTAGGCACTTGCGATGAAGCGCACTGCGTCACGTTGTATTCGCTCCATCTTGTCCCCGTCTTACTTTAGGTGTGGGTCCCAGATGATCGCACCATATTCTAGTAGCGGACGGACGAGTGCGAGATAGGCATTTCGTTTGCAGGATGTTGGGCAGGGGCGGAGATTTCTTCGAATGAAACCAAGTATGGAGTTGGCTTTTTTTAAATTTTATTTATATGGGGTGACCATTTTAGATTATTCGAGAAGAGAATTCCAAGGTATGGATTATTTGATACTTGTTGAAGAGTGGTCTTGTTTAGAGAGTACATAGAGGTTGATCGTTTTTTTTCTTGCGATCATCATTGTGTAGCATTTGGTTTCGAAAAAATTCATGCCCCATTTGTCAGCCCATTTCATAAGGCACTTGAAAATTTGTTTGGAGGTGGTTGTGGTCATCGTAGCTATTTATCTCTCTGTAGACAAAACAGTCATCTGCAA